GAAATTTAGCAATTTCTGAGTGAAAATCGTTTCTATACCAAATTCTTTACTGTGAAGGGCGACATTCTTCACTTGCAGTCTGCTGTTGTTTGGGTAAGGTGGATACTGAGTCTGCAGCACCAAATGAGGAGAACTGATCTGGAAGGTCATCATATAGGTTTGCACGAGACCAGATTAGTAAAGGTCAGAGCAGCAGCTGCCGGCGGTCAGCTCGTGATGTCATCATCGTGACCAAGCAGACACGAGTGACAGAAGCAGACATCTGAAATCCCATCAGACATAATTAAGGCCTGCAGAGGGACTCGAGTCACTTTTATACACTCGCACGAGGACTGATTTAGCTTGACCTGCTAAAGCAGCAGGAAGGAGTCAAAAGCATTATTAAGTGATTTAAAAGAGAAATCTACAAAGCAACAGTTGCTCATAAATAACTGTGAATGTAATAACATATCCATGAGACAGCATTTCAAACATTTCCAGCCTAAAGCTCATTTTGATGTATTTAGTTGCTATTCAGGGTTATTATTGGTAATCAAAACTAAAACTAAAACCATGCAAGATATTTTCATTACCTGAAATCTGTAAATATTAACTGTAATAAATAAAATAATTTTTTTTAGAAATGTAACTTAAAAATAAAAAAAAACAAAATTAGACATTTGTCATTTTCTTTAGTTTACGTACTAAAATAACTAAAACTATAGTTAATAAAATGATGAAAACACATAACATTACTAAAACTTTAACTAATATTCAAATAAAAACAGAATTCTAATTCAAATATTAATAAAAACTACAATCTATCCTATAACATTGTTGCTATTATAGTAACTAAAAAGATGAAAAATTATGTCATTATTTATTCACTCATGTCATTCCAAACTCATATGCTGTTTTTTTAAAGGGGTCATATGATGCTTTTTTAAAGATCATTATTTTGTGTATTTGGTGTAACAGAATATGTTGACATGCTTTAATGTTCAAAAAACACATTATTTTTCAAATACTGTACATTATTGTAGATCCTCTATCTTGTAACACTCCAAAGAGAAAGGAAAACTTGAAATCGCATCATATGACCCCTTTAAGGAATTGACATCATTTTACATTTTAAAGATTCTCAGTAAATAACGACTTCAATTTTAGTTTTTCTACATTTATAATGATAACATTGTTTTTTTTTTAATTAACAGGCCCATTATTTGTTTTTGTATGGAAAAGAGCAGCATGAACATTCTTCAAAGCATCTCCTTTTGTGTTTGACTAAAAAAAGGCAGTCAAACGGGTTTGAAATGACATTCAGTAAATAATCCTTTAAAGATCACTTCTGTGCTTCAATCACTAGCCCAAAGCTAGAGCCCTTGAACCCTTTAGTTCGAGCTGATATTACAGCAGTTAACTTAAGGCTTGTTCCCTCAAATGAGCAAGAATGTGACCTTTAGGCATTGGGAGCATTTGCAGTGTTTTGAACCAGGCCACCTGCATATCAGCATGTCCTGCTTCACACCTGTTCCATCAATCTCAGCGCCAGGTTTAACAGAGTCATGATCCTCGCTTTCCCCTGAGAAACCCACATCATCACAGGACAACATGATGCCAGAATCCACCTCACATGCACATTTAATCACTGTTTTCACACTTCTGAGAAACTCCTGTGAGATGGAGGCTACGTCCCAAAATTTGCTAACTCAGGCTTGTTCCACTCATATCAGTCCTATCAAAACAAAACATGTTTTGCAAAGGCAATTATAGTATTAAATGGATGCAAACCATTAAAGGGACAGTTCCCTCAAAAATGACAAGCACTCATGTCAATTCAAACCCATAAGACTTTCATCATTTTTGTCCATCCAATGAGACTACGCAACCAACACTTTCAAGCTTCAAAAAGTACATAAAGACATCATAACATAACTTCTACTGTATGCAATTGCACTTGAATCAGCTTTGTTAAAAACAGAAAGACAACAATTCAAAAGTCTTCCTTTGAAAAAAAAAAACATTTAAAATATTATCGTAAAAAATACTTTTTAAAAATACACTGAAAAAATTGGTGTTGGGTATACTTTGTATTTTTATTTCTGAAATTTACTAGCAATATTCGAGAGAAAATTGTTTCAAATAAACGGCAAGAAACACTTCGAATGGAACATGAAATTTTGAACTAGAAAGAAATTGTATTTCCTGGCAAAATGTACTTGAATAATATGTGTTTTATTTA